TGATTAAAACCTGTCAATTCTTTGCCATATCGACAGACCGAAGGGCTAGAACCCAAATGGCCGCTGGATCGGAAAACTGAAAACTGAAACATGTATTCACATCTAAAGTTAAATTTAATTTTAGTTGGAACTGATATTGAATAAGATACTTTCCCGATTATTTTGGCGGTTGAACATACAATGTGAATTCCGGATTTGTTTTCATTCACAACTCAGTCAGAGTCACCGTCTCGAGTAAGATTATTGTGTGATATCTACAGGCCATATCTGGTCCCGTTTCACTTTGATTACCCTGTCAAACAAGTCAGCCTTCGCCCCTGATGGCAAGTGCCTCTATAAATAAATTATTGATGGTCAAGGTCAAGGTCAAGGTATTGCTTTTTGTTTCCTTGTTTTCCTCAAGTACCATAACTATCTGCTTGCCTAGACTTGCAGCGGTGTCCTCAATGTATCAAACCGTTTTTCTTTTCTTAAAACTTTGGTTGGCAATACATGCTTGTAGTTTGAAGCCTTTTTATTTTTTTGCAGAACATGTTAACGAATACATATTTTTAAATAATGATTATACTTCTCTTTGTGATAAAACCGGGAATGGCATACGACATGTTAGAGTAAAAAAAAACCCATTCAAGATCTGTGTTGGTTAATGTCACCCGTTACCTCTGCCTTGTTCATCTTTTGGTGCCAGACTCCCTACAACCTGTCCCTGTGGTTTTATGCACCCCGCATAATTTAGCAAAATTTAATCATTTTTTGCATAATTTCTTATTACTTTCCTATATATTATTCTTTGTTAAAATTAACAGAACCGCATAATTTCACATTTTTGGGCTCAGTTTGCAGAATTTCAGAATTTTTCTTGCATAAAAGGACGGGGACAGTACAACATCTGGCCTCCATCTTCCGCGGTCTCTGATTTGATAAATGTGTCACGACACGGTAAAACCAGGCTCTCGTCAATTTTTGGACGTGTAGAGATAATCTTCAAGCTTGTTCGTTTATCTTGCTCTTGATGAAAAACAAGTATTCATTTATCTTTAATACAAGTCGTGATATTTACAAATGAACGAAAGAGGGGTCACCTGGTTTCAGAGGTAAAAAATAAGTGCAAAAATGGCTGCCAAAGATTAGCTATTTCTTCAGCTTGAAAATCCGCGGAAACTGGAAATTTAACATTTTTTTGTGTCTTTAAAAAAGGGCTTTCTTTAAAAATCCACACAGAAATATGAAAGCAGTTGAGTCAAAAAAAAAGAAGAAAATTCAATAAAAAATGCCAGTTTCTTCACTTTGATTATTTCGACTAGCGCCTGATTTCACCACGTTGCCTCTCAAATCATTTCATGAAGTTGAAGACCACTGTCGCATTATGTATTTCCAATGTATGATGTAGAAGGTCTTCCCTTATTTTCCTCTGCCTCTATTTTTCCCTGCAGAACAGTTCTGTTTTACGATTCCTTTTGCTTGACTAAGGTATTTGCGTCTCCCTTTGTTGATTTCAGAAGGCATACTCTACTGTGCTACTGACTAACGTTATCTTTATGCCATCATCATCATCATCATCATCATCATCATCATCATCATCATCATCATCATCAGCATCATCATCATAATAAACATCGTAAGTAGAGGGGAATAAAAAAAGGGTTGAAACTTTGTAGATTTTTAAAATCTAATACAGGTTCATTTAATACATCATCAGTTTCTCTCCACAGAGACGTGGTAATGGACCGCCGTTTCTACATCAGCATGCTCTACGACAGCTGTCCTAAGGACCTGGGCTGGATATTGGTGGCAGACGGCAGAAGTGAGCAGCCTGACTCCTGAATGATTTATAGTGTTGGTGGGGGCGTAAAATACTTACGACTACAACTGTCCAACTTCTGCTTTAAGTTTTACACCTCTATACACAGAATAAGCATCACTTTGTATTGTCCCTTTCGAGTATGTATCTCTATAACTCTAAAGGTCTTGTAATTAAATTCCTGCATGCTGTTGAATGATGCCTTTGATGTGATATGTAGATCTACATTTGTCAGCTTGATTGAGAGAAATATGTAATTAAAATTTTTATGTTTTCTTGCAAGTGTCTTTACAGTCTTGTACAGCCGAGAAAAGTTTCCCTCTGGGATAACAAAGTATTATCTTATCTTATCTTATCTTATCTTATCTTATCTTATCTTATCTTATCTTATCTTATCTTATCTTATCACCTACTTGTTTTTTCACACGTTAACATTCTCTCTTGTTTCTTCTATTCCAGGTGACCCAGGCTGCAGTTATGAGAACTCCAGCATCAGCGCATACCCACAGTTCCTGTACTGTGAAGGCCAGAGCCACTGTTTGACAGAAAATAGTAAGGAAGCAAATCTGGTCCTAACTTGTGTGCTTTGGAAACTGTGACGTCATCACTCTTATTATCGTCGTTGTCGTCGTCGTTCCCCTCCTCCTCTCCCTTCTCTTCCTCTTCCTTTTCCTCCATCATCATCATCATCATCATCATCATCATCATCATCATCATCATCATCATCATCATCATCATCATCATCAGCGACAAAACAAAAATCAAACCAACAAACAAACAAAACAACTAGCAACACCCCAACCCTAAACAAAATAAACACGTAAACAGAAAAAAACAATAGCTAAAAAAGTGACCTAACAAAACAAAACAAAATCCAAACAAACCTGACTTAAACACAGAAGAACGGGAAGAAAATCCTCTGTGTACTGTGTATATGTGTAAATATGTGCATGTGTTCATGTGTACATGTGTACATGTGTGTATGTGTGTATGTTCCTGGGGTCAAATGTACTGTGTACACGTGTACATTTGAGTATTCCAAGTGCAACATGTAGTGTGTATATGTGTACATATATGTTTTCCAGATGCAAAATGTACTGTGTACTTTTGTGTTTTAGATGCCATAATTATGTAGTGTGTATATGTGTATTCGTTCGTGTACATTTGTCTGTTTTAAATGCCATATGTAGTGTGTATATGTTTTCCAGGTGCGAACTGTAGTGTGTACATGTGTGTGTGTTCCAGGTGCGAACTGTAGTGTGTACATGTGTGTGTGTTCCAGGTGCGAACTGTAGTGTGTACATGTGTGTGTGTTCCAGGTGCGAACTGTAGTGTGTACATGTGTGTGTGTTCCATGTGCGAACTGTAGTGTGTACATGTGTGTGTGTTCCATGTGCGAACTGTAGTGTGTACATGTGTGTGTGTTCCAGGTGCGAACTGTAGTGTGCACATGTGTGTGTGTTCCATGTGCGAACTGTAGTGTGTACATGTGTGTGTGTTCCATGTGCGAACTGTAGTGTGTACATGTGTGTGTGTTCCAGGTGCGAACTGTAGTGTGTACATGTGTGTGTGTTCCATGTGCGAAATGTAGTGTGTACGTGTGTATGTCATGTGTGTGTTCCATGTGCGAAATGTAGTGTGTACGTGTGTATGTCATGTGTGTGTTCCATGTGCGAAATGTAGTGTGTACGTGTGTACGTGTGTATGTCATGTGTGTGTTCCATGTGCGAAATGTAGTGTGTACGTGTGTACATGTGTGTGTTCCAGGTGCGAAATGTACTGTGTACGTGTGTGTTCCAGGTGCCAAGTACGCAGACGTGTTCGCGGTGTTCATCAAGACCAGCACGTGAGGCGACAGGGGAGACAATCCACGACTCCCAAGTCCTGGTCTCCAACAACCAGTCTGTGATCAACAGCTTACTTTGTCATAGTAAAATAAACTGTTATTTTCGTTTTTCAATTTTGAGTTCTTTCTTTGTGGTTGTTGATGTTAAGTTGCGTAAGTTGTTGTTGTTGTTGTTGTTGTTGTTGTTGTTGTTGTTGTTGTTGTTGTTGTTAATTTTTTAGAAATGGCACATGTATCTCCCGCAGCTTATCAAGTAAACATAATATCTTTTTTTTAAACAGGCGTTTGCATTTGCAATGAACAGCAATGAGTTAAGCGGGGTTAGAAAAGTATAATCGGAAACAAAACAGACGCTAGTGAAGATATGTGTTCCAACTCTTGAACTTAAAAAGTTGTTTATTCATATCTCGCACGAGGGAAATCCCTCAGGTGTTCTAAAGGCAATCTCGCTACCTGACAAAATCTGCGTTATTTTGATTGGGTGTAAGAGAAGAGATGCACACCAACCAGGGGCGAAGCGTCTATATAATCAAATAATCACTGCTTCCCTTCCTAATTTTGAAACATTGTCGCTGTCAAATTCATCCTTAAACGTAAACCTCTTAAATTAAATGTAAAAAGAGGTTCGTAATCCACAATGAGCATGCCTAACATTCAAAACGGTTTCACGGCCACATAAATAGCCTCCTCACCCCTCTCGGGCCACTCCATAATCAGTCGCAAGCTTTGATTAAGTAAGCTTAAAGTGAGGCTGAAAGAGTCTACCAATACAGTTGAGGGAACATGTGCATAGCAGTCATGGCTGTTTCATTGCCACATATACCCTGTTCACCCCTTTGGGGCCACAGTTAAAATCAATCACAAGCCCTGATTAAGTAAGCTAACGAACACTGGTCGAGTCTACCTCACAAATGTGAGGGGAACTAACTCCTAACAATCTCTTTACTGCTGCATGTGCTTGTTTTTTTTCCTCGACTTTTTACCGTCCTATAATCAGATCGTGACCTCGATTATGACACCAGCTCCTGGCCGCGAAAGGCTAACAAAAACAGCCAAATGTGAAATTTAAAAAATGATAATTGTCATGTTCTACCAAAGAGTTAGACTCTCTGGTAGATCTATAACATATAGATCTAGTACTGACATCTCTGCTTCTTTGCTTTGTGTTTATGTATTCACATCTAAAGTTAATTTAATTTTAGTTGGAACTGATATTTAATAAGATACTTTCCCGATTATTTTGGCGGTTGAACATACAATATGAATTCCGGATTTGTTTTCATTTACAACTCAGTCAGAGTCGCCGCCTCGAGTAAGATTCTTATGTGATATCTACAGGCCATATAGATCTAGATCTATATCTGGTCCCGTTTCACTTTGATTACCCTGTCAAACAAGCCAGCCTTCGCCCCTGACACCAACCAAGACAATAACGGTCATCTAGTGACGGGAAAAGGAAGATGGACGGACGAATAAAACGGAGCAATAGAGTAATAAGAAACCACCAGGTCTCTTACCTCCCAGCGAGTAGTTTTATCAGATTCCGAAACTTGAAAATGAGTGGAGGATTAATGAGTACACTGAGACCAAAAAAAAGAGATCAATCAATATAAAAAATAAAATTCATAAATAAAAAAGTGTGGATGCAACTGAAGTTTGAAATCATTGTTTATTGGCAGCTTTGATGGAATCTTTATAGAAATGAAATGATGACCCACCAAGTTTCAGTTTTAATTATTCTGATCGTCGGAAATGCCATACATTCTAAATTATTATACTCAAAAGAGCCCGAATTCAAAGGCTACATTTTCTGACAATTGAATGAAAGAAACAGAAAGGTTAAAGGTAAAGTGAGATTGAATAGACTTTTAGGAATGGTTAACGAACAAAGTATCAGTATATGTTTTGGGTCCGCAACACTCCCCTTCGGTAAGGGGATAGACGGACTGCGCAGTTGCTTCAGCAGTAGTCACGTTTCTAAGGTTAACCCTATCTGTACGCCTGTGTTCATTTTGTACCTCCGGGATTGTATTCTTTACATTTTAGAATACTGGTAGTGCGAAAAGCTCTTTGAAACTTTCAATATTTCTGAAAAAATCATTTTGACAGACTGCTATGCGAAGCGTACGGATCGGATTAACGAGCAAATTTCCTCTTTGGAAAGTGGTGGCTCAGAGTTCCCCACGTCGTATAGATAATGGATACGATAGTAAAACACGTCGTTCGGATAGGGTTAAGTAAAACAACAGTACACTTCGCTGATACTTCATTGGAAGAAAGTAACCGGTGAAAACTTGTTTTCATATTTTGTGAAAATAACAATGTACATGCAGCAACGTAATATCACAGTATCCGTGTCTCTGTTTGTGTCTGTGTCTGTGTCTGTATCAGTGTCTGTGTCTGTATCTATGTTTGTGTCTGTGTCTGTGTCTGTATCTGTGTTTGTGTCTGTGTCTGTGTCTGTGTCTGTGTCTGTGTTTGTTTCTGTCCTCCTCCCCCTTTTTTCTCTTTATCTCACCCCCTCTCTTAGTCGCAGTCTCTCTCCCTTCATCTGTCTGTCTGTCAATCTCTCTCTGTCAATCTCTCGCTGTCAATCTCCCCCCCCCTCTCTCTCTCTTTCTTTCTCTTTGTCTCTGTCTCTGTCTCTCAGTCTGTCTGTTTCTCTCTCTCTCTCTCTCTCTCTCTCTCTCTCTCTCTCTCTCTCTCTCTCTCTCTCTCTCTCTCTCTCTCTCTCTCATTCATTCCCGCTCCATCACAGCCAAAGTCAAAATATAGTAAATGCATGGACATACAAAGAGCACAATACGAAGCTGAAATGCAATCATACAAATATCACAGAACTGAGAACTTGTCAGTTGTTGACGCCATCAGAAAGATGGACGTTCAAATGTTCGGGTGTGTCCCGACATCGTTTGTGAAAACATTGTCTTCTTATGTACATAGAAAAAACAACAACTCAAAAAAAAAATTAAAATATACAACAAACAGAATTCATAACTTAAAGAAAATACCCAGACTTCTCTGAATTGCGTATGAAGCGTTTGATTTGTAACCAATTATCGTTGACACGAAAGTGAATTATTAGACCATGAATGTTGCCCATAGAATGTCATTGCTAAACTGCATAAAGATTGCATGCTTTTTGCACAATTGTCGAGCTTTCGTGTTAATATGTTAGAAGGCTTTGACGTAGAACATCCCCTCCCCCCCCCCCAAAGAACAACACCCCCTCCCCAAACAAAAAAGCAACCCCCCCAAAAAAAAAAACAAGCAAAAAAAAAAGAAACCCAACAAAAAAGCAAACCCCCCACCCTTCCTACTGTCCACACCACACAACACCTAATACAAATGTCCCTTACTTCACACTGGTGATTTGGGGTACCCGGCCAAAGGAATAACAGATTCTGTCAGAAGGATGTGTATGTGCCCTTGTAAAATGTCCACGGGTTCTCAATACTTTCCACGAAGCTGAGAATGTTTCAGATTATCACAGGCTCTGGCACGGTAATAATAGATTTTAGAGGCTGCAGAGACTGGGGTATATTTTGAAAGGGATATATGCTCTGTATAAATGCAGTCTGCTATTTTGTTATTTTTTACATCTTTATCCCGCTGGTTTAAATTTCAGAACACTTTAATTGATAGTGGCACAATCTGTTGTTCTCCTGTATTATTTTGCCCCAAATACCGGAACAATTTAACTGATATTGATGCAATAATACTATACTTATCAGCTATTTTCTTTCTGATAAACCTACAAAGCGATTTAACAGATACTGATACTGATATTCTATTGCCATTATAGAATATCATTATCTATTACAATGATCTATTATCGTTATCTATTGTTATGTACTATCATTCTTCTTGGTCAAGTTGCAGAACAAGTTGACCGAGTCAAACTATTATTATCACCATCAACAACTACTGTTGTTATTGTTATTCCTGCAGTTAAAAGAACAAATACAATAATTGTATTATTATCCTGTTATTATCAAATTCCTGTACAAATAACCGAACACCCTATCCGAAACCAAAATACTTTTTTATCACCGTCTGTTACTATAATTGTTATTCCTGTTCAAATGACAACACAAAGCTATCCGGAAGTTGTCATGTCCCCTTGTGCTTCTTCTTTCCTATAAAACATCTATCGTCCTTATCTTATCTCCTTCTTTTTGTGTATGTTACTCTCTTGTAACACCTCTAATCTTCGGCACTACTATGACCTTATTGTGTTGCAAGTGCCATAAAATACGTACTAAAACAGAACAATGTCCCCGTCCGCCGCGTGTCTATGTAGATCTGGTTCCTGTCATGTGTCTGTATAGATTTGGTTCCTGTCATGTGTTTGTATAGATCTGGTTCCTGTCATGTGTCTGTGTAGATCTGGTTCCTGTCATGTGTCTGTATAGATTTGGTTCCTGTCATGTGTCTGTGTAGATCTGGTTCCTGTCATGTGTCTGTGTAAATCTGGTTCCTGTCATGTGTCTGTATAGATCTGGTTCCTGTCATGTGTCTGTATAGATCTGGTTCCTGTCATGTGTCTGTGTAGATATGGTTCCTGTCATCTCCTCTTCCGGCTCGCGTCTGTGTAGATCTGGTTCCGGTCATGTTCTCTTTCAGTGGGCGTCTGTATAGATCTGGTTCCGGCGGGCATTC